GTAAGAGTAATTTGAAAACTAGAAGAAAAAAAATGGAAATCTTAGAATTGAAAACACAAAATGTTATACTTTTAAAAACCATTTACATAACATAAATATCACATTGGGCACTGCAGAAGAAAAGATCGGTGAATTTGAAGGAAATTAAACAGAAATGATACATACAAAAGTGAGGCAGGCTAAAGTAGGGAAAGTTCAGTACTCATAGAAAAAAAACATTGCATCTTAGATTAACCAAACTTTGGCTCAGGAACCACCCATGCCCTTTTCCAGTCATTGATTATGGGCTGGGAATCTCCTTCTTCTCCCCTTCCCATAAGTCCTCATAGGTTTTAAAACCACCTGAAAGCCAGAAACATGCTCTCTCGGCTTCCAACTTTCACTTGGGCCCCACCATGCTTCCCTTTGTATTTCTCTTCCCTAACTTTTAATAAACTCCCTTTACACCCACGTGTCCTGCCATGAATTCTTTCTGGAGCGATACAAAGAATTTGGAAGTCTTCTGATCACAGACTGCACAAGCACCATTAACAAAAGTACGATGGTTATTAAGTAAAGTAGATTGCCTTCCCTGGTAGGTTACCCTCAGCCAGTTAGAGGCATGAATTCCTCCTGCCTGACTTTAAACTAGGACATCTATTTTTTCCTGCCTTCAGACTCAAATTGAAACAGCAGCTTTTCCAGGGTCATAAGGATGCCTGTTTTTAGAATAAAACCATATTGGTGGCTCTACTTGTCTCCAGTTTGCTGAATGACCCTGTAAATCTTGAGACTTGTCAGTCTCTGTAACTTTATCAGTCAGTTCTTTGTATCTATTTTCTATTAGTTCTGTTTCTCTAGAGAAATCTAATACATAAAACACAGACAGAAAAAAAAGACTGAAACATCATAGTCTCAATAACATGTGTCAGTATCACGTTTTACTATTTGTATAATTAGAATTGCAGTAAGGGATGATTTCAGGCAGAGAAAGTATCTGAAGAAAATTTTCCAAGTTTGATTAAAACATTAATCCACAGATCCAGCAAACAAAGAATAAACTATGCACAAAGAAAACCATACTTAGGCATGCCATGGTCAAACTGCTGAAAACCAAAGACTAAGAACAGTTCTTAAAAGCATTCAGGGGTGAGGAATGGTGGGGGGGAGGCCCAAAAACACAAACAAAAGGCATTAAATACAGAGCTGATTCTTGTAAGAAACAACAGAATCCAAAGATACTATAAAAGCATTTTTTAAAATAGTATAAAAACAATGGGGCAGGAGACATAGCTCAGTGGTAGAATGCCTGTTAGCATGCTTAAGACTCCAAGTTCAATCATCAGCAACATACACACACACACACAGAGGACAGAAAAGTAGAAGAGTGATTAGAGAATAACAAGAGAAGAATAGGTAGTTACTATTTAAAGAGTTTCTATTTGGGATGACAAAAAAGTTGTAATAATGGACAGTGATGATGGTTTCATAACACTGTGAATATACTTAGTACACATGAACGGTATAGTTGTGAATGGCATAGTTAAGAATGGCTAGGAGGCTGGTAGAGTGCCTCAGGTGAGCATCTGCCTAGCAAGTATGAGGCCCTGAGTTCAAACCCAGGAACTGTAAAAAAAAAAAAAAAAAAGGTTAAAATGATAATTGTGCTATGGATATTTACAACAACAAAAAATACCTGTGGAAAAATGTTATACAAGAAAAAAACTACCTACCTAGAAGCCTGTATCTAAATATATATACATATATTTTTTTTAAATGAAAAGGCAAAATAAAGTTTTTTCTTTTCAGAAAATGAAAATTTGGGAGACATTTTTTACCGGCACACCTATATACTATCAGAAATGTTAAAGGAAGTTCCAGGCCAAAGGGATAGTTGTGTTCGTCAGTGTTTTTTTCGGTGCCAGAAATCAAATCCAGAAACTCATACATGCTTGGGCACATGCTGTACTACTGAGCTATATCCCAGATTTGGGAATGATGTGAATCAGGAATAGAAATCTATATAAAGGAATGAAATATTAAGTATGTAGAAAAATCTTGAAAGTCTGACCAACTCATTTAAAATAATCCTTAGAAGAAAATTATAAAATCTTTCAGAATACTCAAGAGAGTTAAAAACCTACAAACTGGGCTGGCAGAGTAGCTCAAGTAATAGCACACCCCTAGCAATTGCAAGGCTCTGAGTTCAACCCCCAGTATCACAAAAAAAAAAAAGAAAAAAACTACAAATCATGCACACCCCAAAATGTAATCTGGTATAAAGCATATCATTAACCAACAACACATAATCTACTTTTTATGGAGGATTAAATAAATAGCCTAACATAGGATGGTATCTGCTTTTATTTTTTTAAGCTGCATCAGTTATTATTTTTCATTTTAAATTCACTGTGAGTTAATATTATTTGTTTTTTGGGGGGGTTAGTGGAGTGGCTTAAGTGGTGGAGTGCCTGCCTAGCAAGCATGAGGCCCTAAGTTCAAATTTCAAACCCTAGTCCCATTAAAAAAAAAAAAATTACAAAATAGATGGTTTGAGAGAGAAAACTGAAAAAGGAAAACAGTTTCTCAAAAAGTAGGGCAAAAGTTAATGGAGTAAAAATAATTTTTGAGAAACATACAGGGACTGGAGCACAAGATCCATTAATGAAATTAGAAAAGTAAAAATAAAGATAATAAGAGGAAATTACTTCACAAACTTTGCTTAACTTCCCCAAAAATAAAGCACATAAATTTCCAAACTGAAAGTACAAAACGAGCACTCAGTTCAAAGAATGAAAAGAATAAAGAAAAAACCCATTCCAAGATGCTTCCTTGCAATAATCAAAACATGGGAATTAAGAGCTGCCTTCCAGAAACAAAATACACAAGAACTGAGAGTCTTAAATAATACCAAGACTGGAAACCAGATTATAAGAGAAGAGTTTCTTCAAAAACCTAAGGGAAAATGGTTTCCAGTCACACATGTATCAAATAGGAAATAAAACAAGAAAGGAAAACACACAAGATCCAGAAAACAGAGAATCTGATACTGGAGAAAGGCAAAGGGAATCCCAAGGTGAGTGGAGTCAAATCCAGAGATGCAGACGACTACTAAGACTGGACTGGCAAATGGCTTGATTTTTTTTGGGTGGGGGTAGGGGGGCCTGATATATAAACTCTAAAATAAATTACACTGGAAAGATCATAAGGTAGAATTAGTGATAGGATATGAAAATTTGGAACTCTTAGACTCCTGCTTCACTGCCACACTCACACATTTCTCTTTCCTCCCACTTTCTTGTATTACAACTTTCAGCTTCATTAATATTAATTTTGAGTCTAACATTTGTAAGATACTATATATTTGCAATGAAACATAATTCTGTACCTTTTATGTAGTTTGGTTTTCTTGGAGTTAAACATTCAACTTCTCATTTGATTAAGTTAGATTCAGATTACTTTGTTAAGAATAAAGCTGTCTGTGGCATTTACACAGCGAAGTGGTTCCCACAGTTGGCTTGTGGGCAGGTGTGTGAAACTTACTAGTGATGTTCTTTCTTTCTCCACCTTCCTTTAATTTTTCCTTCCCTCTTCCTCTCCCTTCCATGTCTTTGTTTAGGCCACAGAATTACTTGACCTCACAGAAGACCTTAACAGTACTCTAGGATCTGCCACTCGCAAACACCAATGAACGTAAGCCAGAGGGCATCAACACCTTACTAGTTGTGTGACAATTTCTGTTTCTTTGCCCAGAAAGGGAAGATAAAAATAGTACACCTACTTCAGTTAAGAAGACTAAATACTTTTGTAATGATTTACAACCATACCCATTATATAGAATATGTTTATTAAAAGAACATCTTACTTATCTTTAAAAAAGAACAAAGTTTTCACTACAAAAGCAATTGGTTGGCATTTGTGTGTGTTTTTATTTAACACTGGACAAAGATTTATAGACAGGTGCAAAAAATAAATCCTTTTTTGCAACCCAGAAGTCATTGTACAGTATACACAAAAGAAGTATGATAGGAAAAAAAAGCAATTAGCATATGCTTTCAATATTTTGTAAAAATATGTAGCTATTTCATTTTAAAAATAGGTGTAGACACACAAGCACATATATAACAAATTTTAACTTATTTTTCACTTTTTTCAAAATTATTAGATTTAATCATTACCAAATTATGAGTCTTCACAGCAATTTCTAGGAATTCATATCATTTCATTATAAGAATATACCATAAAATACGCAAACTCCTCTGGTTTGAGCACGGTATTTTTTTAAAATTCTTAATAAATCTTTGTCTATATCTCCAATGACAGGTTACTAAAAGCAGAACAAGCTTAAGGCTTTTGATCTATATTTAAAAGTCCCCCAAAATCTCTGCCAAGTTATATTTATTTGAACCTACAATGTATTATATTCATTTCATCATACACTATAACATATTTTTGCTCTTTCAAAAATTAAAAGAGAACAAATTTAACATGTACTCCTTTTAGTTTGAATTTCCCTATTAATTATATTATCTACTTATGACTTTTGACCATTTTTCTATTTCTGTGGGCTAGAATTTGCTAAACTTTTTCACATATTAAAGATACACATCATTTTGTCATATTTGTGACTAGTGTTTTTCAGTTTTAACTCTTATGTGTCTTAGCTCCGTTTTTCCTTCCCTTGCATTTATACCTAAAAAGCCCTTCCTCAGCTCAAGGACAGTTAATGTTTCTGTTCCTCCCTTCTTCCCTCCCTCTCTCTATTTCTTCCCTGAAGGCAAGTACTTCTGAATTTGGGTACTATGGTTTTGTTACTAGTAATTATTTTAAGTAACCTAACAAATAAACCTTTAACAATACTTCTATAAAAGTATGAGAAAGCAACAGGGAGACCTCTGGATGTATATTTTAATAATAAATATTTCAATATATAAATATTCTTCCTTAAATAATTATACTAGCTTGGTTATAACAGAGCAATGTAACTATTTCAGTTACATATGTTCATATAGCTTACTCACTTGTGGTCATGATGTTAGGGGCACAAGTGGGAATTCCATGATCCACTGCCCATCTGTAGGCTCCTTCTCCAACTAAAAAGCTGACAACAGAAGAAATTATTCTTTTAAAAATGTATTGTGTCATATTCTACATAGTCAATAAAGTAATACAAGTAATACTATATGTCAACTTAAAAAAAAGTTTTGCATGTAGGTATAATTTAGCTCAAAATAATAGATGGCTACATGCTCAAATTTTCTTTTGCTTTTTTTTTTTTTTTGGTGGTAATATTGGGGTTTGAACTCTACCCCTTGAGCCACTTTGCCAACCCTGTTTTTTGTATTGGGTATTTTTAAGATAGGGTCTCAAGAACTATTTGCCCAGGCTGGCTTCAAACTGTGATCCTCCTGATCTCTGCCTCCCAAATAATTAGGATTAAACCTACATAATTGCTGAATTAATGCATGGACATGTGAATGGCTAACTGGATAGAAGTAAATATTTAATTCTAATGTGATATGGACTCCACAAATTTCTGACAATATAATTGTGAGCAAGTCTGAAATTCTCATTCTTTACCTGCAAAATGCGTGTTACCCTCATAAATTGTATAATTTTTATCAAATAATGCATGCAAACCACATAAAACAGTGCCTGTCATAATGTACAAATACAATAAACGTTAGTTATTGTCATTACATAAGTTAGATAACTAGACTTCATGGTTCATGTACAAATAAGAAATAAAACATGGTAAATTTGGTTACATTGATTTGGATACAAATAGAATTCATTTTTAAATATTGTGTTATATAGCAGACTTCCAGGTATGTGAGAGATTTCTGCTTCTACACAAGATAGAATGACAGAGTAAATCTGCCTCCTCATATAAACCAACAGGGGGAAAAAAGTGACAAAATAAATATATATAATATATAATACATAAAAATAAATATATGTAATATGAAAAAAAACAGTTTTACACATAAGACATAGGTAAGAGAGGACAATCATCTTTGAGAAAAAGGAAACACAACTAATCTTGCCTTACTCCAAGCATAGGGTTCACTTTCACTATTGTGAGGAGAGTAGCAATATCTGAGTTGAACTGAAGAGACAAAGTTGGGAAACCAAAGGCCAAATTGTCCAGAATTCACATGACAAAGTACTGGAGAGAAGAGAGATGCACAGAGGACTCCAGAGGTCTTCAAAGAGTGCCCTACTAGTCCTTGACTAAAGGGAGATCAGGGCATATATAAAAGGAAATCACCCAAAGTCATGGAAGAAACAACCTGACAATGCTAAAGGAAATAATCCCATGTTCAGATAGAGCCAGGATCAACTCAGGCTCCCATCAGTAAGAGTGAAAAATTTCATTCTAGCTGCATTTGTTATAATACTCCAAAGAATGTTGCCTCAACAGCAACACAAAATTCTCAAAGCTAAATGTTTCTCTAGTCTCATGCAACAAAGCTTAAAGCAAGATCTGAAAAGATCAGACTATTTTTAACTAACTTAACCACATCCTAGAATAAAATTCAAAAACAGTTATTAAAATTTAAAAATACAAAACATTCAAAAAGGTAAAACTCACAATGTATGGAGTCCAATAAAAAATAACCAAGCATACAAAAAAAAAACCCAAACAACCCAGAAAAGTGTTAACATGTAATAAGGAGAAAAATCAGTCAACTAAATACAACCCAGAAATAATAAAAATAATGAAATTAGTGACAGAGATATTAAAACAATTGGTTTTTTGTTTTGCTTTTGCAACACTGGGGATCCAACCCAGGGTCATGCACATGCTAGGTAAGTGCTCTGCCACTGAGCTACACCCCCAGCCCTAAAACAATTGTAATTCTGCTCATAAGAAGCTAGAAGAAAGACTAAGCATGTTCAATAGATTCAAGGAAGCCTTTTTAAAATTTTTTTGGGGGAGGGCAGTACTAGAGTTTGAACTCAGGGTCTCACGCTTGCTAGGCAGGAGCTCTACCACTTAAGCCACTCCACCAGCTTCAAGGAAGCCTTCAAAAGAAAAAAAAAAAAAAGGATGGAAACCAAGCCTCTGAAGATGAAAACACAACATCAGAAAATGAAAAATAAACTGGATACAATTCACAGGTGATATTACATAAAAATAATTAACTCAAAATTGAAAAGATAGCAATGGAAACTCTCCAAAATGAGGCAAAAAGAGAAAAAAGAATCTGTACAACTACTCCAAGAGGCGATATACAGATGCTCCTCAACTTATAACAGGGTATGTCCTAATAAACCTATGGCAACTGAACTCTCTCCCTCTCCCTGCCTCTCTGTCTCCCTTAAAACCCCTCCTCACCACACTTTCAATGTGAGGAACAGCAAGAAGGCAACAAGAAAGCCTTCATCAGAAACTAAACAGGTTGAAACTGTGATCTGGGTCCCAATCTCTAGATCTGTGAGAAATACCTGCTGTTTAAAACCACTGGATCTAAACTATTCTGTTATGGCAGCTAGAGAAAATTAATATGAATATTAATCCATGTTAATATAATATAAATACAAAAGTATCTCTCCTATTGATTATTCTTTTTTTTGGGGGGGGGAGCGGAATACTGGTGTTTAAACACAGGGCCTTATGCTAGCAAAAGCAGGGGCTCTACCGTTAAGCCACGCCTCCAGCCCTTTTTGCTTTACTTAGTTTCAGATAAGGTCTTGCATTTTTCCCCAGGGGGCAGTCTTGAACCATGATCCCAATTGCCATAGTCCTACTTATTCCTCCCACACAACTGGAATCACAGATATGTGCCACCATGCCTGGCTTGTTGGCTGAAATGAGGTCTCACTAACCTTTTGCCCAGGGTAGCCTCAAACCAGGATCCTCTCACACTCTACTTCCAGAGAATCTGGGATTACAGGCATGGCTACCCCATCTCTCCATTTTTTCAATACCACAAGGTTAATAATATGACTAGAAAGTAATTTATTTAACAATTCATTAATTACACTTTTATAATCCACAAGCAGCATTTAATACTACATGTTTTAACATTTAATTCTGCTTTATTTTTCTTAATTTAATGTTTTTGTACTAAGTGTCCAAACACAATTTACTTAATACACGATCTTTTTACAATGATTTCAGATGACATCATTGCCACAGACCAAACTCTCATATACTGAATGCCTCTAGACTTGCAATTCTGTCCTAGTGATCTTTTTCTCTCTCTCTCTTTTTTTAAGTGAGATGTATGAAATAAAGGACAAAATGCTTTTAATTATTAGTGCTAGGTAACAGCTTTCTCTGGATTATTTACAATGTTTAATGTTCTCTTATTCTAAGAACTTCCCAAAATTGATTACTTTAGACTCTAGAATCCAAAGTATAAGATAATTTTAAAGTTTCACAATAACATAATCTGAATTGAGCACTCAATAATAGCAAAGTCCTCTCAAGAATCAACTACAAAACCAGAACTTAATTCTAACCTCCTACGTTTTAATCCATAGTATTCCATTCCATCTGAAGTGTTATCAAGTTTTAAAAACATTCCAACATCACAGAACAAAGTGTGTCTTACTCTCAAAAGCATGCTACTGCTGATATGTAATGACAGCATTAGCCTTCTGTGAATTAAAACAGCTTTCAAACACTTCATGCACTAAAGACCAAAAACATAAGGAAAGTCAGAAGGAACAAAGTGGTTACCAGGGAGGAATTCTGCCAGCCGAGAGCTTGCCCTTCTGCCCTTCACACAATAGTCGGTTTGCAACAGATACTGGGTTCTTGATTCCTAGAAAATAAAATTGGCAGAAAAAGAAATCAAAAATGTCTTCAAATTTCCCACTCAGTTTTGTGGTTGTTTCGATAAAACAACTTTAAAATATCTTGGAAATGTTTCTCTTTCACAATATCAAACATGCTAATAAAAACTGACCATGAATGTGATAAAAACATGAGTAATGAGTCAAAAAATACATGAATGTCTAGTAGATACAAGAAAAGAATATATATTTATGTGTATATATGCATATATATATATATATATCTCATGTTTTATCTCATATTACAGCAGGAAAAACTGAGTTTTAAATACTAAATATTTAAATTAGGCTCCTTAATAGATTTTACAGTAGCTAAGAAAAAAAAAGTCAACTGAAAATGTGACCTTCTCTCACTATCAAAATTAAATAAATGGTCCAGGCATTTACTGACCATAAAACTTTTAAAGAATAAATGTGACCATAAACAGCTTTGGTTTTACCATGAAGAGAAAAAAATAATGATGAAAGATAAGCCAAAAATTTTAAATCTCAACTACAAGAAAGAACAGAAAGAAAGTCCTTCAAAATGAATAGGGATGAGGGAAAAAGACTAAGCACATCCAAAACTAAAATCTAATGTGTAGTTTAGATAGTTTCCAGGAAGCAAAACAGTAAGATGTCAGTGCTTACCTCAGAGGACCACTGCCTTAGAGGACAGCATTAGTGTGACTGATTAGTATGAGAAAATGGCAAATATGATGGTGATAACACAATACAAGAAAAGTAACCTAGTACCTAATAATGTGCCAGGCCCAGTACCAAACTCTTAAACATATCAGATGACTTATTTAAAAGGTCTCTCAAGTGTGAAGCTCTGAGTTCAAATGCCAGTCCCACCATAAAACAAAACAAAAAAATCCTTTAAGCTTAAAAGATCTCTCAGTTCTAAAATGTAACTATGCCTTACAAGCCCTGGATAATTAATGAGGAAACATTCTTACATAAGGTTAAGTTGCCTCCTAGGCCACAGAACTGAGATTTTTAATACAGACAGCTAATAATATCAGACACTATGCCCTTAACCATTAATCTATGGAGCCTCACAGTACATTCTTTGCACAAAACAATCAGTAGTGGTATATAAATAAACTACAAAAACTTAAATTAAGGATGCCAAAAAGCCAGGCACAGTAATACAAGGCTATAATCTCAGCACTCATGAAGCTCAAACAATAAGATGGAGAATTCAAGGCCAGCCTAGACTACACAGTATGACCCTGTCTCAAACAAAAACCAAAAACAGGCTACATACAAAACACAATCAATTGTTAGAACTTAAATAAATAACAAAAATTTCTACCACAAAAAGTACAAAATATCAACAAAAAAAAAAAAAAAAAGGAAATGCCCTAATCAGATATCTATACGAGCTCTTAAAACAATGTATTTCTGGATAAAATGATTCAATATTACAAAGACACTAATAATTACAAAAGAAACTCACAAACGCAAATATATAAATTCACCAGGTATGGCAAGCTGACTCTTACTCAGGGGAAAAAAAACTTTGAAAGAAAAATGAAGAGTTATTCACCCCATAAGGAATCATTTCTTACTCAGGTGTGGTAGCAATACCTATAAAACCAGCACTCAGGAGGCTGAGGCGAAAGGATCACAAGTTTGAGGCCAGCCTATACTACATAGCACATTCCAGGTCAGCCTGAGCTATATAAGACCCTATTTAATTTATAAACAAACAAACAAGAAAAAAAGTTAGAATTTCTTATTCGAAGTTAATCTAATAAAAGCAATGTTGTCTGGGTACAAATCAGACAAATGTATCAATGAAAGAGAATAACGTGTGAATTTGGGTATTTCAAATCAGTGGGATAAGAACAGACATACACAAAAGTAGAAAGAACACAAAGTATAAAGCATAGTAGGCAGCCTAACTGTACCAGCTATCAGGTTATTGCTTAGCCACCATAAATTTACCCTTTGTTGTCTGATCTGCAAAACTGAATATGCTTCCCCACCCCCGCCTTTTTTCTTGTTGAGACAGATTCTTGCTATGCAGTCCAGGCTGACCTCAAGCTCACAGTTCTCCGGCCCCAGCTCCCTGAGTTCTGGGATTACACAGCTGTGTACCACCAGACCCAACAATACAGACTTTAAATGTTTCCCTTGCCAGCTGGCACAATGGTAACCTTTGTCAGTAGAGGACACTGGAGACTGACTGCAGTAGGAAAGGGTAGCTTAATTCTGGAGAGTGCAATTTTGTCTCCAACATTTGTTGCACATGGTATTCTTCAGTACTAAGTGCCTTCAGGGTGCATCTTTTTCCAGGATTTGGTCACCACATGTTTTGTTCATCTCCTGATTCAAGCCACAGCAGGACAAGAATGAGACTACACCCTATATCCTATCTCTGATCCCAATACCCTCTCCTCAGCCCAACAGACACACTCAAGAGAAGTCTTTTATTTGGACTCATGTTGCAATACCAGGGTACAGCACAGGAGACTTTCCGAGCTGACTCTAAAAGTGAGCCTCTTGCCCTCTGTGTGCTCACCTTTCAGCATGAGTTCACCTATGCGCCACAGGGTTAGCCCTGCACGTGACCGTGCACCAGTTCCAGTCGGAGTAATTCAGCAACTTCTTTACCATACAGTGGTCTGCAGACACACTTTTTTCAATGAGGTCTAAACCCAATTCCAACTTTATCCTTCTTTCAGTATTTATTCTCCCTCTGCTCTACAACATATTTTAAGTTCTGTTTTCATCTTTTTGTAGATTTCTACTTAATAATTTATATTAAATTTCTCCTGTTTGTAGGGAATAGGAAACATATCTTTCTCTCTCCCCCACTTCATCCTACTTTACCCTGTTATACTAAAATAAATCCTTACTACAACTTAAAAAGAAATTCTTGTTTAACTACTGTATGATTTCTGCCTCCTAGTTTGACTCAGATATAATAACCTTGGACAAATTACTAAATTTTGTGGGCAAGTGTGGTGGTAAATGTCTGTAATCCCAGCACTCAGGAGATGGAGGAAGTAGGATCTCAAGTTCAAGGCCAGCCTGGAATACACAGTGAGTTCTAGGCTAGCCTAGGATACATAGTAAGATCCTATCTGAAAAAAAGCAAAATAAGTACACCAAAAAATAAATTCCTCCTGTGTCTCACTTCCTTATTTGTAAAATAAGAAGTATTGATTTCATAAGGTTATCATAGAAATAAATAATTTAATATGTAAACTACTATAGAACAATGCCTAAATAATATAGTCATACAGTAATAGTGTTATTATTATTTCTAATAATTATGGAGAGACAATTTTTTAATCATTTCAGAAAAAAAGCAATGTATTCAAGTTGCAAATAAAAAATAAATTATACACATAATAGACTAAAATATGAGAGAAATGTTAAGGAACACAAAATATGAAGCCATAAAAGAAAAAGTAATGTTTGACAAATAAAATTTTTAAATTCTAATATGACAAAGAATGTTATGAACAAATGTAAAAGACAAGCCATAAGTGGTATGAATAATTAATTCACAGAGAAATGCTAATGCTCTTCAAACACATGAAATTTTATTTAACAGCAGTTAAAACCCAGTAAAATTTCATAATGAAAAAGATAAAATTAAAACTACCTGAAATACTCTTACATATAATAAAAACTATAAAAGATATAAAGGATCAGAATAAGTGAATAACCAAGTTGACCTACCTGACATATATAGAGCATTGTACTCAACACTTACAGAATACCTATCTTCTGAAATTCACATGGAACATTTACTAAAACATACTATGAGCTGGACCACAAAGTGAGTCTCAGTTTCAAGGGACCATACAGAGTGTATTTTCTGACTGCAATGGAATTAAACTAGAATTCAATAAAGCCAATTAAAATATTTTCAGGCACACAAATTAGATAACTCATGTGAAATGCATATATTCCTTGGAAAGCAGAAAGAAACAGAAAACAAAATCTTTTTATTTTTTTTCAGTACTGGGGTTGAACTCAATGCCTCATGCTTCCTAGGAAGACACTCATTATTTCAGCCATTCCACCAGCCCTAGAAAATCTTACACTGAGCCATTTTACCAGCCCTAGATAATCTTATGAATGTTAATGATATTGAATTTCATATTTAATACTTCCCACAAATAAAACCACACTAATATGAAATGAATTCTTCCAAACAATTAAAAGCATCCCAATAATACTCAAGCTCATTCAAAGATTAGAGAAAAAATTTCCCAATTCATTTTATGAACTCAACTATAACAGGGTACAAAAATGCTAGTCACGTATGGTGGTTTACCCTTGTAATCCCAGCACCGGGGAGGCTAAAGCAAGAAGATCCCCACTTCAAGGCTATCCTGGACTACATAGTGAGACTTTGTCTCAAAACAAACAAAAAAAATTATAGTATACACGCAGTCACCTAATTTGCCAATTCAATTCTGAGAAGAAAGGACTGCCCTTTCAAAAAGAGTCAATGAGCCATGTAGAAATCCATGTGAGGAAAAAAGGTAAATGGTGAATTTACTTTCACATACATAAACATTAATTCCATTAATTTCACATATATAAACATGAACCCAAACTTAATGAGAAACCTGAGTGTTGAAGAGTAAAAACAACAAAATTACTAAAAGAAACAAGGGAGACTGCATAACTGAGTATGTAAAACTTCTTGAAATACATGAAAAGTTAACCATAAAAAAGAGTGACAAGCCAGGCACTGGTGGCTCATGCCTATAATCCTAGCTACCCAGGAAGTAGAGATCAGTAGTACGGCGGTTTGAAGCCAGCCTGGGCAAATAGTTTGCAAGACCCTATCTCGAAAAAAAACAACACAAAAACAGGGCTAGAGGAGTGGCTCAAATGGTAGAGCACCCGCCTAGCAAGCATGAGGCTCTGCGTTCAAGCCCCAGTATTGCCAAAAAAAAAATAACCACTTAAAATTCATTACAATTAAAGACATGGTTATGAAAAGATGGCATTAAGAGAATGAAAAGGCAAGCCACAAACAGGAAATATCCATAATACACATATCTGACAAATAATTACATCTAAATACATAAAGCACTCCAACAAACCAATAAAAAAAGAGAAAATCCAATAAATATGTTGAAAAGATGTGAACACGAATTTCACAAATATCTAAAAGTTGAATAGTTATATAAAAATGTTCTTAGTATCATAAGTCACCAGGAAAACTCAAACTAGGGGCTAGGGGCATGTCTCAAGTGGCAGAGTGAGTGCTTGCTTAGCAAATACTAGGCCCTGAGTTAAAAACCCAGTACAACCAAAAAAGAAAAAGAAAAAAAGAAACAATACCATGACATACATTATCAAAATGGCTGACACAAAACCTGTATCAAATTCACAGGCATAATGTTTTGCAAAAGAAACTAGATACATAGGTTGTCTCATTCCATTCATACCAATTTCGGGAATAGCCAAATTAACCTACGGTGCCTGAAGTCAGAATTGGGAGAGGAGAGGTATAAGAAAAATGGACTAGGGCATGGGGCACAGCTCAAGTGGCAGAGCGCCTGCCTAGAAAGTGTGAGGCCCTGAATTCAAACCCCTTATCACCAAAAAGAAAAAAAAGAAAGAAAGAAAGAAAAAAGAAATATGGACTAGCAAGAAACATAAATAATTCTTCTGAAATTATGGAAATACATCTTTACCAATCAGTTGACTGGGTCCTTTTACTCTACTTGGACAAAAATTGTGAGTAAGAAAGGAGAAGCTCTTTCAGTGCAGGCAGTCCTGAGTGCCCAAGGCCTATGTGCTAGATTGGCAGCCTCAGAAGAGATAGAGGCCTACTGCTCCAGGCTTGGAAACCGAAGACTAACAGCTCTAGACAGTCAAGTTGGAGGCTAATTGCTCTGGGTTTTAACCACCAGTAGTCCTGGCACTAGGCAACTATTATAATCTTTGGCTTCCAACAACACTGAGTGGCAGCAACAGGCAGTACCTGCTTCTGAGTCAAGTGCTCTACCATTTGAGCCATGCCCCCAGCCCCTAGTGCCTGCTTCTGAAAAGGCCTCAGGTGTTAGCACTCTCAACTCCTTTAGAAACTAGAATTACAGCTCTTGGACCTAGTCACAGCTCTTGGATCTAGAGTGTCTGAGATTCTTGACCCTTAAGGCTTGTCAGCTACCTGCAACTCTTTCAGTGATCAGGCCCCTGACTTTCACCTTTGACCCTGCATAGCCTACTACTATCTTTCTTCAGTCTTGTCTCTCTACCTATTCTAACCTTCTTTACTTCCATCATTTCTGATCTCTGCTGTCTGTCATCTTAGCTCCCTACTGTTTCTGCCCTGGCAACTCTGGAACTCTTCAGCCACCCTCTCATTGCTACTTGTCCTATTGTTGTTGCTGCATCCAATACTGCCACCACTCTCCTCATCACTTCTTACCATCTGCTCATGTTACCACCTCAGCCCACTCTACTAATGATCAAAAGTAGCCAAGAACAGCAGCATTCAAGAGAATGCTTTTAACCAGGGGTGGGCAGCTTAGGCATGTAATCCTAGTTATGCAGGAAGGAGAGATCAGGAGAATCACAGTTGAAGGCCAGCCCAGCCAGGGGCCCAGGGACATGGTGGCGGGGGGTGTAAGACACGACCCTATCTCCAAAATACCCAACACACAAAAGGGCTGGTAAAGTGGCTCAAATGGTAGACCACCTGTGTAGCAAACATGGGGTCCTGAGTTCAACTTCCAGTACTAGTAAAAAAAATACAAAGGCCAGGCACTGGTGGCTCACACCTGCAATCCTAGCTACTCAGGAGGCAGAGATCAGGAGGATGGAGGTTCGAAGCCAACCCCAGGCAAATAGTTCTTGAGACCCTATCTCAAAAAAACCCATCACAAAAAAAGTGCTGGTGGAGTGGCTCAAGGTGAAGGCCCTGAGTTCAAGCCCTGGTACTACAAAAAAAAAAAAAAAAAAAAAAGAAGAGAGAGAGAGAGAGAAGCCTTTTATTTGATCTGATATTGCACCACCAGAGGGCAGCACAGAAGAGTGTCTCCCAATTGACTCAAAAAGTCAAAGATCACGTTTTCCCTCATATGTAGACCTGTAAGTTAAACGTATATATAAATGTATATATATATATATAAATAAATGTATCTTTATTTATATATATATAAATAAATGTATCTTTATTTATTTATATATATTTACATATATATAAATGTATATATGATCATATATATATGATCATCTATATGCAAAGTACATATATATAGTGAGAGAGAGAACAAAAGTGAGTCTGTCTGAGGAGACTAGATATGAATATAATATAACATACTATACCTACCATAAGCTATTAAATATTAGGGGAACATGGTGATAGAGAAAGAGTAAATAATGGGGCATTAATTTGATTAAGGCACAATATATACAGGCCTAAAGAACCAAGGTGAAATCCTTGTGGACAATCAATATACACTTTAAAAAAAAAAAAATGAAGGACAAAAGGATAAAAAATAGGTCTTTACCAAGGGCTGCGTTATCAGTAGGTAGGAGGTAGAGGAGGGAGACATAAGGAATGGGAGAAGAACATGAATATGGTAAATATATTTCGTATTCATATAAGAAAACAGAAGAATGAAACCTGTTGAAATTGTTCTAAGAAAGAGGGGAGGGGAATGAGGCAGACCAATGGAGGAGGGAAATCTAAATTGTAAGAACATATGTAAATATCACAATGTATCCCCCTGTACAACTATTATATATTAATAAAAAATATTTTTTAAAAAGAGGATGCTTTTTAGGGCTGTAAGTGTGGCTCAAGTGGTAGTGCACGTGCCTAGCAAGTTCAATGACCTGAGTTAAAACTCCAGTGCTACAAAGGAGGAGAGGGCTTATAATAAAAACCTATTATAAATATTAACAGTGCTTTAACAGTATTTATCAGTGCTCTATTCTTAGTGAAATACCCTTAGGAAGAGTTGGGTCATTTCATCTGTATCATAGATATATACATCTTTTTTTTTTTAATTTTTATTGTTTTATTATTCATATGTGCATACAAGGCTTGGGTCATTTCTCCCCCTGCTCCCACCCCTCCCTTACCACCCACTCTACCCCCTCCTTCTCCCCCCCAACCCCCTCGATACCCGGCAGAAACTATTTTGCCCTTATCTCTAATTTTGTTGAAGAGAGAGTATAAGCAATAATAGGAAGGAACAAGGGTTTTTGCTAGTTGAGATAAGGATAGCTATACAGGGAGTTGACTCACATTAATTTCCTGTGCATGTGTGTTACCTTCTAGGTTAATTCTTTTTCATCTAACCTTTTCTCTAGTTCCTGGTCCTCTTCTCCTATTGGCCTCAGTTGCTTTTAAAGTATCTGCTTTAGTTTCTCTGCGTTGAGGGCAACAAATGCTAGCTAATTTATTAGGTGTCTTACCTATCCTCATATCTCCCTTGTGTGCTCTCACTTTTATCTTGTGATCAAAGTCCAATCACCTTGTTGTGTTTGCCCTTGATCTAATGTCCACATATGAGGGAGAACATATGATTTTTAGTCTTTTGGGCCAGGCTAACCTCACTCAGAATGATGTTCTCCAATTCCATCCATTTACCAGCAAATGATAACATTTCGTTCTTCTTCATGGCTGCATAAAATTCCATTGTGTATAGATACCACATTTTCTTAATCCATTCGTCAGTGTGGGGCATCTTGGCTGTTTCTATAACTTGGCTATTGTGTATCACAGATAAATACGTCTCTACACAGCAGCACATATTTCAAAATCCATGAAGCTACACACTTAAAATCTATGTACATCCATATATTTAACTGAATTATAAAACATTAGATAAATCTTTTGTGTTGTAGTATGTAAAAAAATCTTCAAGAATCCTATTTTTTTAAAAGTTTCACAATAATATATACATATTTTTAAAAAAATATTCATAAGATACAATTATCTTTTTTTTTTTTTTTTTTAGCAGTACTGGGGGTTGCTCTCAGGACTTGCACTTGATAGGCAGGCACTCTACCCCTTGCACCACTCCATCAGCCCCTAAAATTGTACGTACCACTCAGTGCTCCAACTGCTCCAAAATTTAAGGATTTTCCATCCATAATGCTGGCATCACACTCAATTTCCCCTAAGAGATTTAGATTAGATCCCATTCCTGCATTTGTAAAAGGAGAATCCTAAAAGACAAAAAAAAAAAAATTAAGATACCATTAGTTTTAAAAAAAGAATGTCAATTCTTCATAAACCCTTCTTAACTCATTGTATGATGCCATTACTTCCATGATAACAATAAGACAAAACCATCATGAAAGAAAAAAAGTAAAAACAAATATATCATGAAATAGTAACACAAAACTCATCAAAGGAAATCAAGAATAATATAAAAAGATTTTATATCAGGAACAAGAGGAATGATGCCAGGAAAACAAGGTTGGTTTAGCATCTGAAAATCAATCCATGTAATTTCATATGTTAATAAAATGAAAGACAAAAAACAATCATGAAGGTAGAAGTGTGGCTGAAGTTGTAGAGCACCTGCCAAAGCCCTGAGTTGAAATGCAAGTACCACCAATATATATATATATATATATATATATATATATATATACTAGATGGACATAATGGTTCATATCTGTAATCCCAGCAAAAGGGGGCTTGGAGTATGCCTCAAGTGGTAGAGGAATTGCCTAGCAAATGCAAGGCTATGAGTTCAAACCCCAGTATCATCAAAGGAAAAAAAAAAGAATTCACTTTTTTTTTTAATCATTTTTACATTTACTCACATGTATATACATTGTTTGGTCCACCTACCCTCCCCACCCCAGTGCGGAGTGCCTAAAGTGGTAGAAGAATTATTCACTTTTAATAACCTCAGGAACAATAAAAATAGTTGAAAGACATATACATTGAAAATTATGAAGTATGTCAAAAACTTTTAATATTTAAGTAAATGGAAGGATATCCCATTATACATTGACCAGGAGGCTTAAAGTTGTTACAATGACAATACTTCCTAAATTGATCTAATTCAATGCAATCCCTTATCATATTTTACCCGCCCGCTTTTTTGCAGAAATTGACAAGCTAATTCTGAAATTCATATAGAAATGTCAGGAACCAAGAATAGCCTTGAAAGAACTGGAAGACTCACACCTCTAGGTTTATTAACTTACAGTAATCAGTGATACAGATGTACAACTAAGAATAAACATACAGATCAATGCAATGGAATTGAAAATCTAGAAATAAGCCCTTACGTCAACAAAGATGCCAAAACAATTCAATAAGAAAAGGCTAGCCTTTTCAATAATACGGTAGGACAACTAGATGGCCATATATTTAAAAAAAGAAAAAGAAAAAAGAAAACTGAACCTCTATTTTACACAAAATACAAAAAATAATTCAAAGTAGATCAAAAGCCTAACGGTAAGAGCTAAAACTATAAAATTCTTAGAAGAAAGCATAAGGGCAAATGTTCGTGATCTTCAATTAGGCAGTGGTTTCTTAGATTTGACATCAAAAGTACAACAAACCAAAAATCAAAAGAAGATAAATTAGGTAAATCAAAATTTAAAACTTTCAGCCAGGCTGTGATCAGAAGGATCACTGTTCAAGGCCAGCCCAGGCAAATAGCTCACGACACCCCATCTTCAAAAAAATAACAACAGTAAAATAGACTGGAAGTATAACTCAAGCAGAACATTGTCTGCTTTCCTAGCATGAAGCCCTGAGTTCAAACCATCACAAAAAATGTAAACTTCTGGGTTTCAAAGGACACCATAAAGAAAGTAGTAAAAAACCTACAGAAGGGAAGAAAAATGTTTGCAAATCATGTATATGAGTGACTTGTATTCAGAATATATAAAAAATTCCCATAATCTGAAATAAAGATACAATTTTAAAAATGGAAAAATGATACAAACATTGCTCTAAGAAGATACATTAATAACCAGTAAGCACATAAAAAGATATTCAATGTCATTTGTCATCAGAGAAAGGCAAATCAAAACAACAATAAAATACTGCCTCACACTCAGAAACAAGGTTATAATTAGACAGATAACAGCACTTGTTGGAAAGAATATGGAGAAATTAGAACCGTCATATACTTCTGAGGGGAATGTAAAATGGTGTACGCAATTTTGAAAACATCTGGCAGGTCCTCAAATAGTTAAACAGAAAGTTATCATGTGGCCCAGAAACTCAACTTCTAGTTATTATGTATACTCAAGAAAATGAAGAGAAAATATGTCTAAACAAAACATGTACATTAATATTCAAAACAGCATTATCCATAATAGCCAAACAACTCAAATGACCAACAACTGACAAATGCATAAAAACAAAACAAGATATTATCTACACAATGTAGTACTAATCAGGAATAGAAAGTAGTGACATGTAGTACTAATCAGGAATAGAAAGTAGTGACATACTGATGATAAATATGGAAGACCCCTAAAAAGATTAGGCTAAATGAAAGAAGCCAGGCACAACACATATTAGATAATTCCATTTATATGAAAAGTCCAGAAAAGGCAAATCCATAAAGTAGATTAGTGGTTTCCAAGGACTAAGAGAAATAATGAAGAGTAACTACTAATGGGTATGATGTTTCATTTTGGCATGGTGAAAATAAACTAAAATTAGATGATAGTGATACATTGTAGAATGTTGTAAATATAAACAATGGAATTATATACCAAAAAAGGTAAATTTTATGCCATGTGATCTGTATCTCAAAAAAGGTTATCATAAAGAAAAAAGGTGAGCCAGGTGCCAGTGGCTCGCGCCTATAATCCTAGCTACTCAGGATGCAAAGATCAGGAGGATCAAGGTTCAAAGCCAGCCCAGGCAGATAGTTCAAGAGAAGCTAGCTCAAAACACTCATCACAAAAAAAGGGCTGGAGGAGTGGCTCAAATGGTAAGAGCGCCTGCCTACCAAACATGAGGCCATGAGTTCAAACTTCAGTGCCGCCAAAAAAAAAGAAAGCAAGCAAAAACGCTTCTATCAATAAGGTGGACAGAACATAAAGGCCTAGAATCAGAGGCTGGCAATACTCATGAAATCTAAATATAGATATTACCTTCTTCATCTAATATTGTGAGTAGCTCTTTAAAAATGCATATACCAAGTCTTGTTACACAAAAATATCATACTTGATCTCCAACCAGAGAACATGGGGGCTAAGATAGTAATATAAAATTTAACCATAAAAATAACTGTCATGGCTGGGGGCATGGCCCAAGTGACAGTGCACCTACATTAGGCTTTAGTTCAAACCCCAGTATTGGGGAGAGAAGAAAGAGAGACACAGTCCCAAGACAACATTTTTTAAGACTTTGAAAAGAAAAAAATTAGTTGAGATTGAACACTCCTTGGGATAACTGCACATAAAAAACGTAATCTAAAGCTTATTTAAATATTCAAAATCATCTAAAAACTTCACCAGTTCCCTGGATTTCTGCCAGATCCAAGAAACACTGGGCATGGCTCTAACATAATCTCAAATGTATACCTATAACTTGCACAACAGGGGTGAAGATTTGAGACCAGCACTAAAAATATCACAGTGTAGAAAAATAACAAAAATGCATTATAAACACAGCATACAAACAATAAATACTGTGAGCATTCAAAAGGAAATGGCTAAGAAATAGAGAAGATAATTAACAGGCTCCCAGGAAGATGGAAAAATGAAAGCCTCCAACAAGAATCCTGTTAGGTTGGTTTAGCTAGAATCTCCCTTACCCCTGGTGTTTCCTCTTATTTTCCATCCACTGACCCCTTGCTCTACTGCTCCTTGGCTATTAATTCCCACTTGTCCAAGCTATATTTGAATTCAAGCCCAATCTTTTTCTCAATGCAAAATTGCACAGCAATGGTCCCTGTATCTATTGCAGTAGCTCCCGCTTAAATAAAATCTGCCTCATGTATCATGAATAATCCTTTTAGAACTAATTTTTCATTAGTTACAGGCAAAGGAGGGGGCAGAGGAGAGATGGCCCAAACAATGAATACACATGTTAGTAAATGTAAAATTGATATAATAAAATTTTTAAAAAGATGCTAAAGCTAAAATGTGAAAAAAAATATTAGGGAAATGCAAATTAAAACCACCAGCCACCACTGTATAACCACTAAAATGGCTAAACTTTAAAGAGACTGACGATACTAAGTATTACCAAGAATATCAAACAATGTCAACCCTCTCATACATTGCTAGTGAGAATGCAAATGGAAAACAGTTTTACAATTTTTGTTAAGCAAGGAATGTACTTAGAAAGTACATTCTACTCTTAGAAAGCAATTCTACTCAAGTATATATTCAAGAGAAACGAAGCTATGTCTACATAAAGACTAGATTCAAATGTTCACATCAGCTTTATTCATAACAGCCAAGACTGGAAACAACCCAAATGCCCAGCAACTACTAAATGAATAAATAGATACTTCCCAAAACTTATCAAATTGTACACTTAAAATTGGTGAATTCTACTATAATTTATACTTCAATGAAGCTGACAAAAAGGTAGCATACTGATTACCTGACATAAACTAATCACCTTATATGCTAACTTTCCCCTTATAATATAAACTTTTTAAACTTGCTGAATTTCTAATTTTTTTCTGAGACAGGATCTCACTATGTAATTTAGACTTGCATCAAATTTATGATCCTCTTGGCTGAGTCTCCCAAGTACTGAGATTACAGGCATGGGCTAGCAAACTCAGCTTGACACAAGATTTTATAGAATTAGTAATCATTATGTTCAGTAAGTAGCCAGTGATATTTTTAAAATCTGTCAGACCCTGTTATTCCCCTACTCACAACTCCATAGTGGTTTCCCATCATACTTAGAATAAAATCCAAAATCCTAATTTCCAAGGTTTACAAGGCCCTATACAATCTAACCCCTCCTTCCCTTTTCCAGCTTACTCCCTTCCATTCTTCTCTCTTTCTGCAAAGGAACCACACTGCAGTTCCCTGAGCACACCAAGATGTCCCCACCGTGGAGCCTTTACATTTGTTGTTCACTCATTCCTTTGAAATGCTGAATTTAGGTGGTGTCTCAAGATGACAAGTATTATAAAGAAAAATGAAATGGAATAAAGAAAGATCAGTGGAGGACTGGAGGTGTGACTCAAATGGTAGAGAGCCTGCTTATCAAAGTA